GCATTTTTTTCAGATTCTAAACGTAATGAAAAACTTCAGCACTATTATAATATATTACAGAAGAAATTATTCACATTATCGAGTATCGTTGAACCATTACTTTCATCGCTCTGCTAAAAATTTAAATTACTAAATATTAATTTTATATTATTAATGAGAGATGTTGTAACCTAGTAAAATAAATATTGAATATTTATAGAATTAATCGACGTTTACACACAACAATTTATATATTATATGAAGTCGTCATTCACGTCATCGACAATGTCGATCATTTTTTCTCGAAATGGGGAAGTTATTGCGTTTTAGTATATTATATTGTGTCATCGAGCGTAGTTTGATGTATAGTTTAATATTAATATGTGTAAGCTTCGAAAAATTCTTTTCAAATGGAAACACTATAGAAAAATGCATAGGTCATAGTTCACTGGAATTAGAGAAAACTATTTTCAGTATTCCTTTCAACACTTTTCTATATTATGTCTTCTGAGTAATCAATATGTCAAATTACAGTGAGCATTGTTATAGTATTATCTGATACTACTGGCCAACTATGGGGGAGAAGGAGTGCCAGTTTGCAGAATATTACTTCGTCAATAAAAAAATTGAAATTGCATTTATTTTAATTTTACCAACCTGGGTAATAGATAATAATTAATATATATTATTATCGTAATTAATAATAGTATGATAATTAAGCGCATGTCAATAAAAAATAAAATTCGATGGAAATAGATTTTTTGTGTCCCTGCCTCTACCACTACAAAAAAATTCTGAATTCATAACTTGCTGCTAAAATATATAAATTCGAAGTTCTAACTGGCACTGTGGCCGATTGTCGATGAACAATACAAAACGCTATAATATCGCATTGTAGTCAGTAGCGTAAGATACATCTATATACCTATTATAGGTACCTCTCATAGATCCATCACGACCTTTTTTTCAATATTCATCATAATATAAATTATTAATCATATTTTTAATGATCAATATTACAGTGCATGTAAATAATCAACCACATCCTCCACCACCGTGACAAAACTATTTGGCTAGCATGCATATTTTATTCCTCGAAAATTGACAACACTTAATAGTATGAATTATTGTATGTATACTTATATAATACTACTCGAACGGATATATTAATTAGTAATTTTATAAATTATTATCTGCATCGATTAAAATATTTAACAAAACCAAAAATATGGAGAAAGTTACATAATATTTTGAACACAAAATGTGAATAAACAAAAATCGAAAAATTGTATTTAGTCATAATAATAATATAATAATTCACTCTTGGCGAATAACGGGTCAACTTATAAAATAGTTTTTTGTGAATTCACATTTAATAATGTCGCGACTCTACAATCGATCTGTGGCTGTAACAATGCGCTTGTATGTTACACATTGGCTTTTTCAGTCACAATTCAGGGTGAACTTATACAGTGGATGAACTTATAAACTATAAAATGTCGGCCACGGCGAACACTTCTATAAGTCCCGACCGGATCCACCAGATATACTAAACCTGCACAATCGCCACATTGTCCGCACGTTGAAAAATCGCTATAAGTAAATGTAAAATGACCCACCATACCCTTCGGTAACGAATCCATCCATTACTGTGAAAACCCACAGGCGACCACCCCTCAAACGCCAGTTCGTTATTCGATTCCTCCGAGACGCCATCGTTGTCGGTTGACATCGGTATTATGTGGGTACGATCGTAATATTATATGTGTCCGAGTCGACGTCAATATATTAAATTATTACTAACGGCGTTATAGGTAGGTATAGGGTTCTGAATTTGAAATATTTAACGTGAAATTTTTCAATTGAAATATTTCAAAATTGAAAATTTCTCTCTTCTTGAAATATTTTAATGAAATTATGAAAAATAATTTTTCTTCTTTTAAACGTGTTCGGTTATAGATGATTATAAATAATATGTTGATCACACACTTAGAAATAAAGAAGAACATATTATTTTCTTTAATTTCATATTTCATATTTGTATATTCTATATTGTAGTTATGAAAAATATTCCTGTCATTATTTTGCGAGTAAAAACATTTTTTAAATGATTTTTAAAATATTGATGTATCCAAACTGTCAGCGATCCAAAAGTTAAAGGTTTGAAATAAAGTTTAAGTCACTTTCAACATTGAATGAAATAATAGTGTATTTTCAGTAATTATAAAGTGTACAAAAGTCGTATATGTGTGTGTGTATAATGTATATGACTGAGTGATGTGAAGGTGCTCTTGACTCTTTTACTTAATACTTAGATCATATTTTGTATATTGTAAAAGGTCATGTCCCACGACTATTAAGAGTGGTTTATGTCTATACATTGTGAATATAATATTATAATATAATTATAATATAGTATAATAATATAATGTGCATTCGCAGATCCAGGGCTCTCAACAATATGTTGTTATGTTGAGTTGGTTTATAAGGTTGTAACTTAAGAGTTAAAAGGCAATGTTTAAATTTGTTATATTATAGATTTGATATATTTTCTTTGTTTCATACAATAATCCAACTTTTAAAAATGTTCACTTGGAAGTTGACTATTATAAACTTTTAGATATAATACAATTTTTATTTTTATTTTTCACAGAAATGAAATATTTCAAGAAAATTAATTTCATGAAATTTTAAAACCCTATCTATCGCAGTGGTGACCGAAACATCTAGTCATTAGTCAAACCTTATTATATATATCTCACAAAAGAATTATCTTGCAACGCTCGTCGATTAGATTTTCTTAAGTTACACTGCTGCCGTGTTTAATAAAAATACTTTTAAAAAGTATTTGGTTATTACTAAAATACTTATAAAAAAAGTATAAGCCAAATTTTAAATAAATATTTTTTTTATCGTACTTTTCCTTATTTTTGAATCAGTAAAGCTGTTTGTCGTATTTTTTAAAACTTAATTTAAATTATTCAATAAATAGATTATAGCGGTATAACAGTTAAAAATAATTATTAATAGTAATTTGTACTCTAAAAATTATTAGCCCCTAATCCAATGTATCTGCAGAATATATTGCATTGTTTACTTTTTAAAAATATGAAATTTTGGCTTTCGTAGTAATCATTTTTTAGTAGGTTCTTTAAAGATAATAATATTATAATATATATAGCTCTAAATATTTATAATTAACAGTTAGAAAAAAATAATTTAATGGAAATTATTCAATACTCTGTGTCTCTGTGGTATTTAATACAATTAAATAGCATTTAAAACGTACTTGAATACTAATTGTTGACGAACAGTATTTAAAATAAGTATTCGCAATAGGTACTTGACAAAGTATTTACATACCAATACTCAAATACTTTTACTAAAATATTTTTCAACACCGCGTTACAGCAGTTTTATAGGCTATGACGCTTTATGGTTATGAAAACAATTTAACGTGATGTATCGTCAGAACATTAACTACACATTTTTTAACACAAATCTAAAAGTTATTCTAAATTCAGTGTAAATAACATCAAGCAGGTGTAACTATCATAGTACTAAATTAACTTAAAAGATGACTTACCTAATAATATGAAAAATAGCATAATTATAATATTTAAAAGTTTACAAAATTGATAACTTTTGGTAAGTATTGTTACATCTGTAACATTCCAATTACAATGCTGGGGTCTAGGGATCTTAATTATACCATATGTCCATATCCGGTGCTACAGTCCTCCTAATCCCACATAAGTAGGTCTCAGATTAACGTCTGTTTACATGTCATTAAAGAGTTGAGTTTAATTTAACCTTAATATTATAAAGTTTTGTATATTTAAAACAATCAATTTATAAAGCATTTACTCCTCAGTCTAAAAATCTTGTGATGCAAACAGTTAAATATAAACACAAAATGTCTTGCACGACTGCACGAGTGATGGACAAAGTTAGGTAAAAAATCTAAACGAAGCGGTCGTAAGCAATTTATCTCTTGAATCATCTTTATAATGTAATACTGATAGAACCGCGCCCACATGCCTACCTATTGCAATACTTGGTGTTTCTTTTTAAAGATAAACACTTAATATATCGAATTTTTAACTCGTTAAAACAATTTTTTTAGATAATTTCAAAACGTCATAAAAAAAATTAGATTTTGAACAACTGCACATTATTGAAGAAAAAACGGTGTGAACACCATGTATGTATGTGAAAATTGAAACACCTAAACAGGATTCTGAAAAAACCTAATTGAATTGTGTGTATAGTTTCTACTATAGTAGGTGGTACTAGGTAGCCGCTTTATACTATATTATATACTCTCAAAAACCAAAAGGTAATTGTATGTTCAATTTTATTTCGTAAATAATAAAAATAAAAATAAAAATAAAAACAACAATATACAGCACCATATACATGTATGGTTCATGGCGATGAGTTTACCTCGTATAAGTCAATAACGGTGACTGAGTGATTGTATATGATGAAAGCGGTGAAACTGATATTGACATGCCATCAAACATTTATTAGTTTATACTCAAGACAACTCAATTTATATTTAAACGATATAAGATGGTTTAAGGTTAATATGTTTCTCTTTATCGTCTATAAGATATAAATTACATTAGGTAAGGTTAATAAAAATGTATATGACGTGTATAATATATTATAAAAACGTAGGTTAATATTTTCAATAATAGTGGGACGTATTTTTTTTTCCTTTTAAAATTAGTAATAATGTATTACATAAGGTTATATTTTCGTTATCGATACACGCTTTTGTATACACTATATCACACACGAATTCAAGAGGCATTATGATACGCTCGAAATAATATGCACATACTAATTATTAATTCACAACAAACGATTATTAGCAATAATTGTGTGTCTCGCCTAGTCAATCATTAGCCGAGAATGAGTTGACACGTATAGTTGTATACGGCAGTCAAATAATAATTATATCGTGGCTGCGTTTTTTTTTTTTGTTTTTTTTTTAAGTACTCTGATTTTTAAAAATGTTGAATTTCAAACTCGATGGCCATCTGAAGCTTGTGAGTATGATGAAACAAAATAACGTAGGAACCTGTATAATATTATCATCGATAAATTATTTTCATTTAAATTTTAGGCATTATGCACTTGTTTAATGTCATGCCATCAGTTAATCATCGGATGTTCTTTCGTATTCTCATCTATTGTTCTATCCAAACTTAAAGAACCGACGTCTCCGATAAAAATAAATATTGAAGACTCCTCATGGATAGGTAAATTTATTTGCCATTATTATATTCTATACAAATATGATATATTATTTTATACATGGTCCGAAGACCAGAAATAAAAGTTTTTATTTTCAATGTAAATGTCTATGATTTGCATCTATTTGATTATTAGTGTTAGGTAATAAAACAATATTTTTCTGGAATGATTTGAAAAATAAAAATGATAATACCATTATTAAACACTTATTATAGGTGTTGGAGTGATAACGTATAATAACATTATGTAATAAGATAATAGAACTAGATGATTTTTTATTGACTACTGAGCCAAAATATGATATTTATGATTATTATTTATTACCAATCATAAAAATCAATATCGATTGGTTTAGGTTTAACGTTCTACAAACAAATCGGTTATCATGGTATTATTGCACGTAATATTATATTAGCTTACAACAATAAATAATAATAATAACAATAATAATAAAAGTTACTATGATGATAATAATAATAACAAAATAATAATAATAAATATTATAATAATTCTACCGTCTTGGGCCCAATATGCCGTAACGAAATTATTTTAAAAATCAATATTTCGTTGTCTATCGATTTCCGTAACAAAAAGTACGTTATCTCTAATTGGAAATTCGTATAATTCGATTTTAAAATAACTATGAAGACGGTATATAAATTATATTAATATGTATACAATGTACATGATAAAAACCAAATATTCGCATTAATAAAATGGGCATCCTTAATCAGGGATTTACATTTCAGACAGGTTTAAACATTTAACTGTATGAGCTTTACATTTCGTGTTCTTTTTGTTTCTGTCATTATAATAATTATTTTATATTGTTAATATTTGAGATAATAATATTTATATAATATGTTAGAGTCACATTAAATTTAAAAAATAATAAAAATAAAAAAATAGGCTGTTTGTCCTGGGTATAAACTATAGATGCTATAGGCGGATAATTAGTCACGTCCATGATGGGGCTTAAAATGTTTACCTTTACCTTATCCATTTGCTTAAACATACATTTTCAGAAGCTTCAACCTACTAGCTAGTGGCTACTCACGTTTTATTTTATATTTTATTATATATAATATATATATTAAATAAATAAATTATTGATAACTACTACATTTTTTTTATTTCAATATTATAAACTTATTGCTTTGTGCAAATATATTAACAATGGTATCGGTATCAATACACTTATATAAACATTTTTCTATTTATAAAATTGAGGTGTGTTGATATTAAAGATATCAAACACTTAATACATTACTGAAATAATTTAAATTTAAAATTAATTCACATAATAGTATAATACACATAAATCATATAAAATAAAGTTTAGAAATAAAATTAAAAATATACAATTCATATTAACGTCTGGTCTGACTGAGTTCTTATTATATGATATTATAATAATGTCATTGATACATTACTTCATGGATAGGTCAGAAGACTTGTAACATTATTATATTTGTTTTGTACAGTCAAAAATAGCAGAATACAAAACGTTTATAGCTACAACATTTTTTTTTATTTCATTGTTATATACTATTACTACTTTGTGCAAATATATTAAAAATGGTATCGGTATCAATACACTTTGATACACTTTTTTCTATTTATAAAATTGAGGTGTGGTTTTTTACTAAAGATATCAAACACTTAAGACATTACTGAAATAATTTTAATTTAAAATTAATTGACATAAAAGTATAATTTATACACATGAATCATATAAAATAAAGTTTAAAAATAAAATTACAAATATACAATTCATATTAACGTCTGTTCTGACGGAGTTCTTATTACACGATATTATTATAATGTCATTGATACATTACGTCATGGCTAGGGTAGAGGACTTGTAACATTAGTATATTTGTTTTGTACAGTCAAAAATAACAGAATACGAAACGTTTATACGTTCATACGTTTCTTGCTAACAAACCTAGTTTTAACATTTTATTTTATATGTCTTCAGTTTAATCTTTTTCAGACACATTTTTAATTAAATAATAATTTTATCAATACTTTCTCCACTGAAATTTTTATTTTAAATAATAAAACCAAAACATACATCTTTTTTTAATTGTTGTCGTATAATATGGCAGGCACGAGTTTTTAATAGAATCCTGATAATTTTATAACTATAATACAATTTAATACTTAAAGTAGTAACACGTGGAACAAATAAAACTAATTCAAAATAATAAATTCAGTTAAATAAAATATAAAAAAAGTGGGCTAGTGGGTGTCACTCTGCTGTCCAGTAGGTTAAAAGTTGGCCACTGTAATGGATGGTGTTAAATTAGAATTCAATGATATTATATCATTGTATAAGATAACCGTTTCTGAGCGAAGACGGTCAGTCAGCCTATGATATAACTAAGTATGTTTGATGATATTATTGTGAATAAAGTAATTTATATATAACCTATTTACATTTAGCCTTGATTTAAGTTTTCAATTCTTAGCTATAAAAGTTGAACATTTTATAAATAATTAACAACAAAATAAATATTAAATTTTGTCAACATTCGAACTTTAAAAACTTATAAAAAAAAATTGTGCCTATGTACTTTTAATATTTTTCAACTTCTATAGTAACAATTTATCTAGAATCTTATATTAAGTTTTCATGCTTTTCTACAAAACAAATAACATTTTATTGACAGTTATACAAAAAAAAACTAAACAAATTTCAAACTGAAAATGTCCTTAACAGCTCAAACGAGTCAAAATAATTTCAAAGTTTTATGGTGTATAGAAAATTAAAGTATAAAAATATTCAGTGAAATTTTTATGTACCTACAGTTATTCATTTTTGAAATGCAATGAAATAAGAAAATTACTACATGAAAAGTCGAGCGAATATCAATGTATAATATTCAATGTTGTGAAAATATAACTTCAAACGCTCATAAAATAATAATTTTACTTTCTTGTAGATATTTTTTTTTTTTGTTTGATAAAGATAGACAAACTTATGAGGAATCTTGTATAACATTTTCAAATAGGTATTAGATTTAAAAAGAAAATTTTTTTGAAAATTCTATCGTGTATATAAAATGCTAATATAAACAACCAGTGAACATTTCATGTAACTATAGGTAGTGTCATATGTTTTAGAGTTACACCAAAAAAAATAATCGATTTTGTCAAAAACCAATTTTGAGTAAAATTTCCTGTTTTTCCCTAATTGTCATTTTATTTTTCCCAGCGCTTTTGAAAACTATTGAGAATTTTAAATGTTGACGTCCTGAATGCACCAACTATGTTCATTTTCCCATCGAACAAGATTCTGTTGAAGAAAATCGAAGCAGTTTTAGTGCCCCAAACGGTGATGACAGACACAAAAATAAATAATATGAAAAAACACACATTATTGTAAAATCAATACATTCATCGCTCCTCTCAGAATCTAAAATAATTATAATATGCTTGTCTTTATTTTCAAATGCATATATTATTTGGTGACTTTTATGGCTACAAGTCCAAGTGTCACAAACTTCGTTCTAGTGCTGACACTACTGTACATCGAATTAATAATAAATGTTAACGTAAATGGTTTTCCATCGGAAACTGTTAAATAATCAAACTTCCCTTTAGACCCTGGTTTATATACCAACTTATATAACCATGTTTCTATCATAGATAATATTAATAAATTCTTACGAAAAAATATTTGTACGAATTTATTGAAAACATTTTGATTATTTTCTACAATTGTACCATACGTTATATACTTATATATGTCGTAACTGAAGTAGAGATACTAAAACCTTCAGAGGGCCTTGATTATGTTATAGGGAACATAAGCCCCCTAAGCTCCCTTCTCAATATCCTTTTGGCCTTTATAATAGTTGTCCTATAGTTCAGGTTATTGTAGACCAATATTACGACTGCTTATATTTTTCGGTCAATATGCTAATTATTGAGCTTCTTAGATTTACCGTCATGGCATTATTAATAAATCAATTTTCAAAGGTGGAAATTTCTAAACAACTAATGAACTTAACTTGTTTAATTGACAGTTGAAATAATTTAGCTCTTCTCAGTTTATTTGATAATAATTCATCAAATTAAACATTTTTTGATATCTTCGTTCTTATGGTTTTATACGTAAATAATAATAATACAATAATATAATAATATAAACATTTCTGTTATTTTTCATGATAAAATAATTTTAAATATACTCTAGTATAGATTAGATAGGCATAATATTAAATTACCTTATCAATTTCTATTTGTTAAATTTTTAATTGCTATCTGTATAGTTTAAATATTTAATAATCATAAAGAAAAATAGGTTTATATACTGTACATTACGATAAAAGTTCAATACAATTGTTTATTATAATTTGCTATTTAGTAATTTAGAAAGAACGCAGTCACTATATACGAGATACACATACTAATTTAAAAAAGTAGAATTATTTTCATTAGCTTGCCTACATTTCACAATTTTTTGAAAAAAAAAAACTAGCTGCAATATTCTATAATAATATCGATACTTTTGTGAAATATCATTATTTAATTAACAATTATCATCTATACACTTAAGTATGGATTTGACTGATATACGAATACAAATCTTCATTATTGTTATGGTATTTACCTATTTATCGGCTTAATTGGTATACAATTATAATACCCATAGGTGTAGCGTGATGAATTTATATGACGGGCTATAATCCTATAATATTTTGGGTACACAACATTATACCTATTCCAAAAATATTACTAAAAAAAAATTTCGAGGGGGCCTAAAGGACTATTAAAAACATACCTTGTTAGTTGTTTAGTATTAGTGTGAGTAATTTGAATGTTATAATATAAACCATTTTCAACAAGTTATTAATAGGTTAAAAGTAAAGCGAAATAATTACTCCTCATGCCCATATGCATAGTCAATTTATATGTGTCACATAAATTGACTACCTTGATTGACACGGCCATCAGTAATTTTAAATTTCAAAAAATTGATTAAACGAAAAACCTTTTGAAACATAACCGATCGCAATAATTTGGTAAACTTTTTATGTCCTAATACTAGAAAAGAAGCAGTGTGATCTGGAGTTACCGCTTTTCTTCCAAGTAATTATTGAATTTACAGAGCAGTATGTCCAACTGTAGTTTTTTTATATTTTTGTTCTACAATGGTATCGAAATATAATTAATAATATTTATACCGTGTTACCGGTAACTATTGATAAGAAATCATATTATTATCTACATTTCAAAAAAAAAAAAAAATCGACTTTATAATATATTAAGGCTATTGCTGCGTGTTATTAAATCTTTAATTTTCAAAGTGCTGCCTAAACTAAGTTTGTCTTTTTTGCCCTCTTTTCGTCATGCTTGTTTTAAATCCATTTGAGGTAATCTAATACTATAAGATGTAGGCAAGTGTTATTATACAATTTATTTAAATATCTAAAATAAGAAAAAACATAGTATTATACATGCATCACTTTTTTGAACACATTGGTATGACATCAGAAGGCATTTGGTATTAACTTCAAATAAAATACGTGTATTTACTGATTTACATAATCTGATAGGTAAGCCAATTTGTAGAATAGATCCATTAAAACCCATAAAAGTTATGAAAAGACTTTTTTTCGTGTTCAATATTTTAATTTTTATTGCAAAAAATTTAGGTACCTAAATAATACAAACCGTCTTTTTGAAGTTTAAAAAAATATTATTTTTACTGTATAGGCCATGTGGCATAATTTAGAGTTAAAAACTAATTACCTACTTGTTTCCTGAAAAACTATTTTTTAGGAGTAACGGCAGATACGGGTAGTACTGCTTCAGAATAGTATTAGTAATAATAATAATAATAATAATAATAATAGTATATTAGTATCAATATTAATGATCTACATAACATAAGTTTTAAAAAATAGATTAAATCAGGACCGTTTAATAAATTAACTCAAATTAAAGGCTATCTTCATTTCAGTAAGAAAGAAATTATTATTAGCACCGATAGTGCCATAATTATTTATAAAATGTAATTTTTAAAATACATTTTAGTGTTTTACATTTGTCGTATACAAAATGCAAAATTATTTAAATTCTTGAAAATGTTAGCGCGTTGGTTTTTCTTTTAATTGAATCTCGCGTTACACCAAAGGTCCAAAGATCCAAAGATGGTTTAAAGTTTTAATAAAATTAAATAATTACAAGTTAGAGCTTACGGCTTACGAGTTACAACAACGAGGAATAGACACGATAATATATTGATGTCATTATACGTCTGACGCGTTTGTTCGAAACTCGTGACCTTAAAGTAGTATAATTTTGAATATGCCGAGTGATCTAAAAACTTCAGGAGATAATTTTAAGGTTAATATTGTCAAATATATTTTGTCTGTCCACCATATATTATAATAAATGATAACGTGAACGTGAATAATTCAAACTTAATCCAAACAATCAAAAACTTTTTTATTTTAATTTATAATTTAATATACATATAGGTATAAAGTATTTTGTGTGGCGCTGTGGCCTACCAGAATCATTGTTTGAGACAATATATAAGCCATTACCTATACTGTATTTTTAATTTCCATCGCTTTAACCGATCTTTTTAAATAAAAAAAAAAATAATTTAAAACTTATTAATCCAGCCAAGTCACTCTACTGTACTTTATAGTACCTATGTGGCTATGTGTCGAGTGTTATTAAGTAGAATTTGAATTCGATGGAATCCTTGTATGCAAAACACGATTCTGAGGAGAGATTATGTGTCACTCTGTATTTCTAAGGATGTTATTTATTATAAAATATTAATTACACTACCATTAGTTATTTATATATTTTTATTGTTAATACAAAGAGCTAATTTTTAGTAAAAACATGTCGTGTTTTATATTATTATAACTATTATAATATATTATAAATCATTGCATTATTATTGTTATTAACTATTATAAGACAAAACCGAGTACAATAGTTCCATGATATATCAATATATCAATTTAATTTTTACACATCAGATAGACCACACTGTTATTATTATCTGCACTATATTTCTTCGTTTACGGCTTCTTGATTTCCATTTGAGTGGTTTTGCTTCAGATATTAATTCATAATATTTAATTTTAGATAAATATTTACTGTTTGCATGATATATTTTTAACAATATTTATTTAAATTTTTGTTTCCACAAAATATCAAAACAATTAAAATCGAATAAAAAAAAAATTTGAATCACATTGATATTATTGTAATCATTAGTCACTTTATATTATTATACTAAATGAGTTGTGACTAATTGACGTCAACACAAATTACGTGTTCAAAAAAAAATGCATTGTATTTCACCGGTATTATAATATAATCCTTTGACTCGTAAAATGGTGGCTGATCAAAATGTTTTTGTTTGTAAGCAAGAACAGCATTTTATCTGTCCTTTGTCAGATTATTTTATTTTGTATTATCTGTGTACGAAAAAAAATCACGAACAATCACGTTTTTAATTGCAATAATAAAAAATGTACATACAAACAAGATGAAAGCCTCTGGTAGTCTGGTATAACGTAGATAAAGTCCACTACATAATAATGATAGAAAAAATTACTGTTTACGAGACACAACAACTATTGATTAACCGTAGTGGAGGATACAAATTTCATCTATGTTGCTACTTTCTCAACTGTAATAAAATAAAAATTATAGTTATTCCGTCATTCGATAATGCCTGTTTGTAAGAAATAAAACACAATTCAAAAAAAAAGTGTACATCTACCTATAATTATATCATTTAAACCATTAGGCAGATAGCCCTAATATCCACGTTTTATTTTATTTTGGCGATGAAAATATTAACATTGAACATAATATTATAAGTTAATTATACATATAGGTTCTATATTTTTTATTCTATATTATTTAAAATATATTTGTTTTAAAATCAATGTTTTGCTTTAAAAATAAGAGACTTTTTAAGAGATGGCAATACTTTTTAATTTAATATACATAATTAATATAATTTATTTACCATAAAAATCTCAATCTCAAAATTACGAAGAACGCTAATATAATATAATATAACTTGATAGTAGTTCTATGTCTTCTTAATAGTTAATTGAACGCTATACTTTTATGAACATAACATATTTTAATTTTGAGTGAGTGTTTAGTTAATATCAATTTTTTCGAAAGACAAAAAACAAAGTATAATTCCTTACCCCAAAACCCCAGCAAGTTTAATATTGTAAATATTTAATCTGCAACACTGAAAACAAATTATAACCATTGCCCTTCACCACTGACGTTATTTTTTCGAGATCAATAAAAACAAATCAAATACATTTAGGTTGATAACTGTAATATACATACAAGTGTACAAGGAATAGAACGTTTAGTATTGAATCTGATGGAAGTTATATTATTCTCCGTCGGATAGTCTTTATTAAGAGAATAATGAAATGGTCCAAATTATTACGTCTAATTTTTACAACTAAGTATTTGATGTTTGTAAGTAAAAAAATGGACATGATTAGTAGTTTGAAAATAACGAGTCCACGATTTGCTGTCTACAAACAATATACACGAAATATGTAAAAGCAATTATTTATTGTTTACTGAAAATGTTTAAAAAATATTGATCGGTTTTCTATCTAAATTAGTTTTTGAAAATTAATTAGTTTCAGATATTTTAATTAAGTACTCAATACTAGATATATAATAATAATATACTTTTTGTATATAACTACTAATATATCAATTAAAAGTGAGTGTTTTTAGGTTCTATAGGATTATTGGAATTTATTTAGGTCCGATAATATTATTTACTTTATTTTAAATAAGTTTCGAGTCTACAAAACACTTCTTTAGAAAATGTATAGTTAACTGTTTAGTATATTATGTATAATAATATATATTTTATTTTTTCAGCGAGTGTACCAATACTGGTATGCCCTATCGGCGTACTCATAATTGGAATACTAACAGATAAAATTGGCCGAAGAAAAGCTCTTCAAATTGGTTATTTACCACTAATTATAAGTTGGTTGATACTTGCATATGCCAATTCAGTAAAATTAATTATGGTTGGAAGAATTATACTGGGAATTGGATTTGGTAAGTTTCCTGAATTAATAAAATTATATATTATTGTGCTTTATAATTATTCAAATGTTAGTGATAAATAACACGAGTGGAAAACTTGCCTTGGTGACGCAATTATTATCCTTTGTCGAAAAATTAATTTCAACCTTCGGGAAATTATATACCGGTTAGAGTAAAGGGAAAATCTCTTTTGAAGTATTTTTATTTAAAAGTTTTAATCCTACAACTTTTATTTATTACCACTTACCGTTTTCGACATAGTATCTTCGCCTAGTATACCCTGGCTACTATATCAACATGTGTGGTGAGAAAATACGAATAATTCAAAAACACGAGCTGCCATCAAAGTTTAGAGAAAGCGTCGACTGTTAAATTTATTTTATTCATTTGTGTTCGAATAAAGGTATTGTAATTACATACGTGTGATGTATTAAACAAAATATGGTAAGACGTAGGACTGTACCTCCTATACGATTAACAGCTGTAGGTATAATATATTATACATTTATGACGTAGGTATACAACAATATGCCAGTTATAACATTTTAAAATACTCTTAAATTATAATAATTTGCAATACATTAAGAAAATTTTGGTTTAATAAATTGTAATTAATTGGTACACAGTATTTTGTAGATAAACACACGCGTATAGTTTTTTGATAGGTAGTATATTTTACGGTAGGTATACCTAACATATTACACGAGATACATACAACTACCATTTTAATGGTAACAAATTTAAAGAAAAAAAAAATTATCGATAAACGAAATTAAAATTAAAATAAAAAAAATTCATTTCGATTTCAAACCCTGTCTATTATAATGCACAGCTTGTAGCTGTTTCTGTATAGCATTGATTTTGTTTGACCTCGAATATCCGACCATATATATATGTATAATAAATTGTGCGCAGACATATGCGACAAAGTGTGAACCGACAAAAACGTAATAATGGATAGTAAAATATAGAACTTATAAATGTAACATCAGCGATTTCTTTGAAACTACTTGTCTTAGCATGCAAGTCGAATATCGAACCGATTTGTGTAAGTGTTTGCTGTTATATTGCAAGTAGGTTGAAGGTAACCAATTATTTTACGTAATGCATAAATTGTTGAAGCGATAAACATTTGTCGGTGATTTTAAGTTACCATTTTTAGAGGTGGCGTCATAAATATAGTAACAATTTTGTTGTAGAAATATATCTCAATCTTATAATTTATTATTACCAACATACGAGAACACAGTTGACGAAGTTTCCGATCGATTTACTGCAAGCCAGGCAAGGTCGCAGGGGTAATTTTAAGGATACAAAGGTACAGTTCAATTGCATCACATATAGAAACACTTAATATTCCAAGGATTTTTTATTGGAATTATAAACTCTTTTCTAATGAACAAATAATAATTATTTATTTTATTAATTTTTTGGATAAAATTCTCCTTAGCAATAGATAGTTAAGTACTGTGAAACCTCGGTAACTTGAATTGGTCGGGGACAAAAAGTTAAGAATTTACAAACGTTATGATTATAACTCTATATATGACAAAGAACGATTGAAATTGTGAAGCGCAATTAAAATGGAAAACAATAAACGAAATAAAATAAGTACCACAAAACAAAACATATATACCTACCTAATGCTTAACAAAATGTATAAAACATCTATAAATAAAACACTATTCAAAACGAAATATACAGAACCATATTAGTATATAACTAAACAAAAAATAATGTGTGGGACGGAGTGACGCGCACCGTCACAGGTTCGAACTCGGCCATGGGTGGCATTTTTCTTCGGGCAGTCACAGTGTCTGGAGAAAGAGACCGCCATCCCCACCCCTGAGTGGCAGATACCTACTGGTGCTGACTTAAAAATACTCCCAAAACAAACACACACCTATTCAAAACCTATAGTACCCTCCCCACAGTTCCACAGGCTAATGACCTCAGTTGCCAAAGCCTCAACCAAAAAAAAAAAAAAAGAGGTGGCCAAGTGCGGTACCACTTTGCTGTACAGTAGTTGTAATGGATGTGTTATATTTGAATATAATGATAAATTATTGTATACGAAAAACAATTCTGAGCGGTTAGAGTACCCCTTAAATTATTATTATTTTTTATTTGTTGCTATGGTATGATAAACAAATCGTTAGAAATTGAAATCCTATTTTTAGAGATTTTTCGTAATTTGTCGGTAGTTTTTCACGACTCTATCTAAAACTACTTGGAATTTTCAATTTTGACCTCCCAAAAGTACCAACTAGGCTCACTCTTCTATCAGAAAAGATGGTGATCTCAAAAATCGAAGCATGCTTACCATCCGAAATGTTGCTGATAGGCAGAAAAAAAACACACATCATTGTAAAACCGATACATTCTTTCGCTCCGCTCAGAATCTAAAAAAAATAATGTACTGAACAGACTAAGAACAATGATTGGCCATCATAGGCGCAATTTCAACATAAAAACTGAGGGTGCTTAAGCTCTGCATTTCCTGGGTATTTAAATTAAATTATACCTATGAGACACTTATGACTTTTTTGAGAAAAAATGGTTTTATGACAATTTAACATTGAAGTTATAGTGCATTAGGTACATTTTATAAAAATTAATACAATAGTAAATTTTAATTTATTAAAAATTTAAAACAAATTATTTATATTTTATTCAAAAAATATGACAAATAAATATTAGTGTACAAGGCGTGTAACAGACAGACTTGACAAAAAAAAAAAAAAAAATAAAGCTACTTAAATGTGTGACAAAAATTGTTAAAAATATTAAAAAGAACATTATAAATATTGATTAGAACAAAAGTTATTCCAAAAGTCAGTTATATCTGTACCTACTATATTGTATCATTCGGCATACACAATCACACAGGCTGTCGGAAACTTGGAACTCCAGTGAACAAAAACTGACAAGTTATTCGTATATCGTAATTAGGTTTTTGTCCGAATTAGATGTGGGCACGGGAATGTTTCTATTAGTAAATACTCGCGATACTATAAATTGTCGTAGAGCTGAGTCGCTGCTGAACGTGATAACACTGATAATAATATAACCGACCACAACGACCGGGCTTAGTAGAAACATTGGAAAATAATGATTTATATTCTAAATAGATTTGAATTTGATAAAATTACAATATTGTCGAGTTCATTGTTTCATTCATTATACTCTGATACCCTCATGTCTGATGATAAACTGTTTTTGGTTTTTTTTTTGTTGTAAAGAGAAGTTTTGATACATAAACACATATTTATTAGATGGTGCTAATTTTAAAATTTTGGGTGCTAATACCCCCTAAGCCCCCCCTATTTGCGCCTATGTTGGCCATACAAAATGAACACATGATTTCTGAATGGCCAAAGAAGTTCCCCCAATAAAATGTCACTGCAGATTCAAAAACGAAATAAAACAAAATAATCCACCAAAACACCATTAACATTTATAAAACAAGCCGGTTTATAATGTCTATATATAATTATATTATATAGTTAAAATATAGTATTAAGTTCCTTTTTATTAAATAAAAATCGTAATAAAAAAAATAAAAAATAAAAATGTAATCACGTTTATACGCTAATAAATAATAACCATTGATGTTGAAGCGAATTGTTCGGTAAAAAAAAATAACGCAAAATAATATAATTAAAGCCATTTTTAATATATTTCTGTTCCACATAAAAATAAAATACCTATTTCTTTCAGTTTATATAATAAATTAGTTTCGTGAGAATATTTTTCCAAGTAATTAAATTTCATATTAGCGAACAATCTATTTATAATAATAAATAAAAATTGTTGTTACATTTTAGAAACTGTCCCGATAGCGATGAATGTATTGATTTTACAATTATGTCTGTTATAGGTAACATAATATACTATGAAAACGTAATAAATAATTTAACCATCGTAATAATTGATCAGTACCAACACATTTGTTGGTAAAAATAAAGGTTAAAGTTAAAGTTTAAAATTTAAACGATTTCGAAGTTATTCTTTTAGTGAAGGAGCCAAAATATGATAATTTGTTGAACAATTTACCAGCGAAGTTGATGGTAAAATACATAGTTGTATTATTTTCGATAAATTTTTAGATAAAACTATTTAATCTTTAATAGAATTTAAAATATTATTTTTTTTTGTATATAATTGCATAATTTTAAAATTTAAATACACATTTTACCATTTTTTATTGCATAGTATAAATAATAATATTTATTCGACTTCAAATTATAAATATGCAATATTGTACAAATAATGATGAGATTAAATAAATCAAGATTGGGTTCTCTTTTAAATACAAACTTTTTGCTACAATGAAAAAGAGAGAATTTTTATTAAAATACAGTAAATTTTAAAAATTATTAAAATTGAAAATATAATAAACTTGTAGGTATATGAATAAAAACAAATAAAGTGGAGATAGATATTAAATAAATAAATACGTTATTGTTTTCATACATACAACCATTGACATTTTGTACTGATGAAAATTATTTAAAAACTATTAAAGCAAATATTGTTAAAACAATATTTCTTGATAATATAATATTTTTATTTTATAATTGACTCTAAAATGCATTGCAATATATTAATATATGCACTAAAAATTAATAAAATTAAATGAAAATGTTAAAAAAAACTCTAGAAAGGAAAAAAACATAGAAAAATGCAAAATAAAAGTTTCACCTTTGAAATATCTGTTACCTACGTGAAACGAATTATTTACTTGGAAGCATTGTTGTCATAGAGCCCTATAAGTCCTATAACTTATAAGTCTTCATTTTTTTACAATAAACTGCAATACTATGCACAAGATAATGTTCACAATGAACTTTTACAGCTTGCTTTCACGAAGAAGTTACACTGTCAAACTAATGCAGATGCATAAATTATCAATGTAAGTGTTTCATTAGTATAGTCATCTGCTTTTGGTTCTAATGCATTGCATATTCGACTTCAAAGCATAGCATATTATTTTGCCTCTATAGAGGGATATTATAGTTGAATATTGAAAATTTTTTTTATAGTTTACACTATCTACGTCTGCCTCTGGCGTTTGCTTCATAATTTATGTTGTATTAATAACGATTTAAGGAGACCGGGAGATATTCTGTTTTCTTTTCTTTTAGCCCTGCCACTACATCGCACAAAATCAATACCCAATTACTAATTAGTCAACCCACGTCGTTACAAACCGAACCTATATTATAATTTTCGTACAACTAATATCATTTTAAAATTAAACTAAATAAAAAAAAATACCCGATGATGTACTTGGAATAAAATGTGTACACTATGTCTAGAAAATCTAGTTTTTTGTTGAGCCAGTCTGCATCGTTGATAAAACAATCTTAATTAGTTTTATTTTTATTTTGACCATTTATCAAATTATCCATAAAAATCGAAATAGGTAATAGAATAAAAGATGAACTTCCATTATCATAATATATTATCCCACTGTCTTTTTATATTTGTATGTAAGAATGACATTTTTTTTATGAGATTTCGTAGTAAATATTATTATTTCTAACAAGCAATAACTAATAACTAATAAGTAATAACAACTAAATAATAATAAAATTGTAATTTCTTACCTACTTGGCTAAATACCTACATACCTAAAAATGGCATTCTAAATATTGTTCTTTAACGTCGCTGTAATGTATGTCAATGGAATTTACCATCATTTGTTGACCTAACTTGACCTAACCTAACCTTCTAATTACCTATTCAAATAATATTTTTATTAGAAAATATTAAACCTTGAATATATATATTCTAATAATTAAAGGTAGTGACATAAAGACACACATAATAAACTTTGTGTTAAATCACAGAAACCAAATTAGACACAAAATGTTTTAAATTGAAATTTGGGCATTTACATTTAACGTAGATAGTACTAATGAAGGTATGGAGTGTGTACTTCAATTTGGTATATAAATGGAAAATGAGTCTTATAAATAAATATTACTAATTAGTAATTGTTACATTATCTTCTCTATACGATGGTAGATATGTACCTCCATAATGATACCTATTTAAGACTCTTAATATGGATTACCATTGAATTTGAATGCCTATACTTATACTTAATAAACTTGAATGCCTACTTACTTAATGAACATATATAACAATACAATTCTAAATTTGAAGATATCATGAAGTTACCATTGTGGTAACTACAAGTTACTTATTGTTTTATATTGAAAATTCTATAATTTATTGGAATGTTGTATATTTGCACATTTAATATCAACATTGAATATTTCAAAGAAAACATTTTTTCTGTAACATTATTGGTACCATCAGGTGAGATAAGCACAGAAATTATTCGTAACTATTAAGTAAAAATAAATTGCCAATGAACTTTTACCAATTTTTTGATTTTAAGACACTGCACGCCACTAAACTATAGTATATATTTTTAAAATATTGTTAAAACGACGATCGCTTCACTCCACAGCCAGTTCTGGAATGTGCATGTACTTTTACTTGGTGTAATTACGGAGTGGCAGGAAAGGTACTTGAGTGGTAAAAAGTTATTGAGCCCCTACCCCCGCCAAATATGCCAACAATAGAAATATAAAATTGTGTAAAATAAAGAACGATAATGAATTTATGAATACAACTCATTTAACATACATTTAAAGGATAAAAATATTTTTTAATCAAATTATTGAATAAAGTACATTTACTTCACTTTTATAGTTTTATCCTGTTGAATGATATGTTGACTTTTTGGCTGTATTGTATTATTGGGTAACAAAAATAACTCAATAATATTATTTTATGAATTATGATATAACAGAATTATCATCATTCATCACAATTGTTTTTTTTCATAGAAGTTACAGATAGCTATTTAAGCAACAAAATTAGTTTTATGACTAGCGAGTGAAATCAAACAACTATTAGGTTATGGTTTCGAATTTTGTGAATCATTTATTAAGCCCTGGACTCGTGTTTACCTATCACTAAAACGACGATCCGTTCATTCCCCAGGTTCAGGATCATGCGTGTACTTGTACTTGGCCGAGGTGTCCCCCACTAAGTACCGGCCGCTGTACTTCTCAGTGGTCACCATATTCGTGGGCATTGGCATGATGACAGAGTCCGTGCTGTCCATGTTATTCGAATGGCAGACCGTGTCGCTGATACTGTTCGTATTCAGCACCGTCAATTGCGCGTCAATGTTCCTTGTGCCGGAGACGCCCATGTGGCTCCGGACCCGCGGCCGGTGCCAGGAAGCGGAAGCGGCCGAAGCGTGGCTGGGCGTTGAACCGGCCGCGGTGACCGTCCCGGCAGCGGCGCCGGTCACCGCGCTGGCGGTCAACGGCGACGATCACCTGTGCGGTGCTGACGGACAAGCGGCCACGGGCAAACCGACCCCGGTCGCGTACTGGAAGCTGTTCATCGGCCCGTCCGTCTGGAAGCCGGCAATGCTCACCACGCTGTTCTTTATCTGCCAGCAGGGCAGCGGGTTCTACGTGCTGCTGTTCTACTCGGTGGACCTGCTGCGTGACTCCGGCGTCCAATTTGATGGCATCACCGTCACGGCGTTTCTGTCCCTGTCCCGCGTCATCGGTAGTTTGGTCTATTCCATGCTGCACCACGTCCGCCGGAAGACGCTGGTCGTCGTGTCCGGCGGTGGCATGGCCATATCGCTGTCCATCATCATCGTCTACATGCACATGTACAAGGACGTGGCCACACCTACGTACGGCGCAGTGCTCATCGTAGCGTTCATCTTGTACGTGTTCTTCGCCTTGTTGGCCATGCTCCCGTTGCCATGGACCATTTGCGGAGAGGTGTTCCCGATGGCCGTCAAAGGTGTCGTATTATATTATAATCTTCTACTATACTCTTCCATGTTAATATGAAAGGCAATGTTTGTGTGAGAGTGAGTGTCTGAGTTAGCATATATATTTGTATGTTCTGAGCCCAAATCGTTTTGTTTCTGGGGCAATTATACCTTGTACAAATGGTAAAGTCCTACTCAGCGGACACCGATTTTACCAACAAGAATGAAAAATATGTGAATACAGTAAATATTATTTCAGATTTGTAGTTGGTTTGTTGAAAAATCGAGTTTTCAGAGGATAAAAAAAAATTATGTGAGTTCAAATAAGCGTCAAAACCGATTTTGAGTTTGCAATTTCTCTGTAATTTTCAAACACTGTAAATATTTTATGTAAAGCATGAATTCGTGGACAAAAATTGTAAGATCTCTCTGTAAAATTCAATACGCTAAATATTTTTATGTGAGACGAAAAATAGGTGTACAATGACTATGTCATCTTTACATGTTGTGAAATACGGTGAAATCGGTGTCCTCTGAGGGAAATATTCATTCTTAAACCTCATAAATACTTATGGTAAATGGATTATAATATATGCCACATGGTAATAAATATTCATACTAAATCTTGGTGAACATTTTAAGTTCTACCAGATTTTTTTTTCATTTTTTGTCGTCTACAAATACGTAATTGGATTCATCATACTGTAACGTTTTTAATTTTCTTATTTTTTTTTTTGAACTATGAACTTTATTTTAGATTCTGAGTGAAACGATGAATGTATTGATTTTTACAATGATGTGTGTTTTTTTTTTATTTTTGTGTCTGTCATCACGTTTTAGAACAGTAAAAGTGCTTGGATTTTCTTCAACAGTAGCTTTTCTGATAGGAAAGTGAATCTATTTGGTACTTTGGGGGGTCAAAAGTTTCACAAGCGCCGGGAAAAACAACAAAAAAATTAAGGAAAACGGGAGTTTTTAAGCAAAATCGGTTTTCCAAAAAATCGATTTTGGTTTTTGGTGTAACTTTAAAACAAATGACCGTAGGTACATGAAATTTTCACTGGTTGTTTATATTTGCATTTTATATACACGATAACATTTTCAAAATATTTTGATTTATTTTGAACTGTTTAAGGACATTTTCATTTTCCATTTTTTTTTAGTTTTTTTTCTAAAAATATCAATAAAATTTTATTTGTTGGTTGTGAAAGCTTGTGAATTTAATAGAAGGCTCCTAGTATATTGTTTCAAAGGCAGATGAAAAATATTAAAAATCCTTTGTCACAATTTTTTTTTATAAGCATTTAAAGTTCAAAAATTGACAAAATATGAAAAAATCACTAAAATTAGCAAATTATTTTGAGTTTAGAATTCGTAAAAATTTTTCTTTTTAAATCTAAGATTTGAAAATGTAATACAAGATTACTGATAAGTTTGTCTACCTTTATCAATAAAAAAATCTCTACCGGACAGTCAAATTAAATTTTTATGAGCGTTTGAAATTCAAATTTTTACAACATTGGATATTCACTCGATTTCTCATGTAGCGATTTCCTTATTTTGTTGTAATTCAAAAACGAATAACTGTAGAATGTAGATACATGAAAATTTCACTGAATGTTTAAATTAGCATTTCCTATACACCATACAATTTTGACTCTTTTTGAGCTATTTACGGACATTTTCAGTTTTCAATTTTTTTAGTTTTTTTTTTCTATAAATATCAATAAAGTTTTATCTGTTGGGCCAAAAAATGTAAAAATTTAATACAAGGCTCCTAATATATTGTTACAATATCAGTTGAAAAATATTAAAAATACATAAGCACAGTTTTTTTTTTATAAGCATTTAAAGACTGAATTTTGACAAAATTTATCAAAGTCTCGAAAATTATCAATCATTGTAATTAATAAATTATAAAATGTTCAGTTTTTATAGCTAAGGATTGCAAATTTAAAACAAAGGTTCTCATAAATAGTTCATACTGTAACCAAAAAATCTAAAAAATATATTAACAGAGTTTTTTTTTACAGACATTTTAAATTCAAATTTGGACGAAATTACATATTAAAAAACCTAGAATAACTATTTTAGTTATTTTGATGTGATTAAATAATGTTATTCGTGACTCGTGAGTACTTGAAACTTCTAAAGTGTACTATTATATATCTATGATAGTATCACGGTTTTTGTTGATGTACAACACGTTATACGTACCTAATGGATAAATTTGATATGATTAATTTTTAATTTATTATAGGTACCTATTATAGGTCAATTTTTTTTAATACCATAGATATGTCTTATACCTAGACTGACATACCGTCTCCGCTCAGAATCATTTTTCTTATACAATGATATTATATCGTTGAATTCAAATTTAAGATCATCCATTATACAGTGACCCACTTGTAACCTATTGTACAGCTGAGCGACACCCACTTGCCCACCTTTTTTTTGTTTTTATTCACGAACATTATTGTTTTTTTTTTTAGGTGTTATGAGTGGAATCGTACAAGTTGTTGGATACGAATTAATGTTTTTAGTCATCAAAGTTTACCCTGCATTTGTGTCATCATTCGGAGTGGAATGTGCTTTGACAGTGTTCGCAATATTCAGTTTTGCAAGTGCATTGTACGGTGCTTTTATAATGCCAGAAACAAAAGGAAAATCTCTCAACGAAATATTATCTTCATTCGATACCCGTGAAAAATCGATAAAAAATAACTTGCCTTAATAATATTGTATACTATAATAAAAATTTTTGTTTTTATTTTTACGAAATATAATATACTATTGCCATTTCGTTTAATGGAATTTTAGGTATATTCTTCAATGAGCATTGAAATGCTATTATTTATTTTGTAATTTGTTTATTGTTAAATACCTCATAGATATAGTAAGTGTTTATAGTTTTATGGAAATTGATAAGTTTGAATAGAACTAATGTATTTAAGAACAACTATTATATTATAATATTATAATGTATTAAAGAATCAGTTTATGTGTAATTTCTTTTACATATTATTAATTATGTTCAGAACAAAATATTAGTTTAATACTATTAGGACCTAATATGGGAATCTAAAATTGGGGGGGGGGATTAAAAGAATTTAAAAACGGGTGTTGGAATAAGTATTAACTCTATAATAATACATTGTTGTTATTATTGTTTACCAATACAGTAAAATACCAAAATAGTTGAACATGAAAATCAACGGTTGTAATATTTGTTATTTGTAAATATAATTTTGAGTACAATTAATTAAGTTGGAATCATTATGTTCTATAACAATAGAGCTTTCTGCTTCTCAGCTATAAATTTTAAAGTGATTTAATATGCTGAGTACTTAAAAGGAACTTTTTTTTACAAATGTATAGAATGGAACATTGCGGATTTTTTGAAGCCAACAATTTCAAAATCACTTTGGTGGAAGTGCATGTTTTAATTTTTAAAAAAGTTCTACTGAACAATTTATATATTGTCACATAGAACTGTTCATTAAACTTCCCCCGAGCCTACTCACAACAAGCACATTTTTATTATATTATTAATATTATATAAATATTATAATATCATATAACTTGTCCATCCACAGTGTTATTTACGCAGATATACTGAGAGTTTTCGACAAAACCATTTTTGAAAATGTATTAACATATTTCTGATAGTTCATACTATAATTAAAAAAACAATTATGACGAAATGTTATATTAACACATAATAATATTATAATAACGATTTATCCTCAAAGATTTGTGTTGTTGTACACAAAATAAAACTAAATTAGAAATTTTTTTTAAATATTTTGTCTTTTGAATATTATAATATTATGTTGACAACAATTCCTACTTTTCGTCAAAAAATAGAAAATCACATCAGATTTCTAATAAGGTATAGACGTAAAATACATAGCTGAAATTACAAGCAGCGCATTGCGCTCGTTTACACGAAACTTATTATTACCCAGACATATATTTTGTGGGAGGGGCGCTTAACTATATATATGTTTACACATCAAAAGTTTGGGAACCTCTGCCTTAGAGGTATATTGTTCTCAGTATGCAACATTTAAATTTATTGACATTATTATTTGATTTAATATGATATAAGTACGTCTATAGTATAGATCTGTTAAACTGTCATAATCACTCCCAATTGGCTGTACTGTAAGCATTTTTTTGTTAAGAAGAAATTTATTTATACTAATAATTATAAATGTTCTTTATTATTAATGTTTGAGAAGGTACCTATGTATTTAATTGTATCCTCCTTACTAAGGGTCATTACCCCATAGTTGTCCTGCTTAACACATTAGATTAGATTTAATTATTACAGTCTAGTGAAAGTAGCTTTACGACGAAACTAAAAACTGCTCAACGTGATAAGAGTGTAATGAATGTTTTCAAAATAAAATTTTTATAAAACCATACTAAATCATTATTTTTATTTAATAATATTTTATACGTAAATAACTACTTGAGTGAAGTTTCTCATACAAAACCAGAACTAATTTCCAAAATGATTATGAGTCGAACGAAAAAAAAATTGGAAACCTCGTTATGAAGTTCGACTGATGGACTCACTAAATGAAGATCATTCATCTTGTTATGAACTGATTAAATAATCCATTTATCCCAGATACATTATGTCAAAAAAGCAACTGAAAATGTATTTATAGTTACCTATTTTATAACTTTTGAATTATTTAATTTGTTTACACAATATTATATACATTTTCATCTTTAAATTTTAAAGCAAGCTATGAGTGTTTTAAAATTGTAAATTGTTCGTACATTTTAAAGTACACATAACTCGCATAAAAATGTAAATATATTAAAAATCCCATGAGGTTGTTTAGATAATAATCTTACCTTTAGATTTTATAAGAGGTCAATTTACTCTAATTTTTAAATTAAAGGAGCTACACGTGTTTTGCTGAGCGTAAAATTTGCTATGTTATGCACTTGTAAGACGGAGACAACACATTTGGGTATCACGTCCTCTGAGTAGGTAGTATAACAAATCCCAATAAATATGGTATTTAAGTATATATTATACATATAAACGTTTAAAATATCAGAATTTGAATTGATTCAAAATTAAAATAAAAAATGGAAGGGGAATATTATTGATGAATCACCGCGTATAAGATATTGAAATACAAAAAGAGTTTTCTCTAAAAGCACTTTTGATTCTATACATTTTTTTCGACTTGACTTTTTGAGAACCAGCTGTAATACCACTTTATTAATATAATGGTGCTATACAATGGTGTTCTTAGGATTTTTCCATGGTGAGGAAAGTGTGCATTGTAAATTAATTATTAATCAGAGTTGTCACATCTCACAAGATTTGTTTATAAAATAAAATAGGTCATTTCTTAGTTCTTATACTAATATAAAACATAAAATATGCACAAAAATATATTTAAAAAAAAAATCTTTTTAGCGTAACAATAATCGACAATAAAATACAGTTTTATTATTATAATGTTTGTACAAAATCAACTTTTGTAATAATTACATGTAATATTATTACTTTTTATTTACGCTGGCTATACCTAATCCGCTTACTGGGTTTACTACGGTTGAAACTTGAAAAATATAAAAAAAAAAAAATAATATTAAATATGGACAATGCGCCACTCCACCATGGGTATGCCACTCACTGAAACTTTATTAAAATCTCGTATAATATGTATCCTTGATCTGACATTTTTTTTTAGATGCGTTATATTATGTACTTTTCTGGGCTCTTATTCAAAAATAAAAATCAGACAATTCTTTATGTCTGAATTTTGTATGATAAGTTACAAAGTATTTAAAATTGATTACCTACTCACTATCTATTATATGGCAACTTTTTTTTTTATTATTAAATCTCTTTAATGTTCATTATTTTATAGATACACTTTAAAATATTTTTCAATAAGCAAATTAATTCTCAGAAATAATTTTGGTATAGCTACTCCCAAGTATACTAACACACTGAAAATCTGATTGTGCAAAATAAACTTTTATCATTAATTAATTGGAATCTCTTAGCAATACATTCATTAATCATTTCCCCTCCATCCACTACCATTAATTAAATACAAATGTTTAAAATGATGTTAGCTAAATAGTATCTCCAACTTCATCTTTGTCAATAAACACTTCTATAGAACACAGACTACCTACAAGTGAAGACGAAAATTAATTTGATTAAGTGTTCTTATATACAACAGAATTGTTTATTCTCTAGTATTTTAACGAGTCTTGTAAAACAAAATAACCTTTGGGATCTTTGGAACAAGATAATATTATTATTATATATAAATATTAGGTATATTACCTATGAGGTACTAGAGATGTGAGTTAGTATTGTACAGTGGCATAAAATTGTATTATACCTCGAGGTATTATACGCATTAAGCATGATAAATATAAAATTATTTTATACAAGTATGAAATATAATATAATATTTCTATACTTAAATAAAAACACGGGATAACTACGAGCCGTATGATGGAATGTGGGGTAGTATTACGATTTAGATATTCCTAGTTCACTAGTCCCTAGTCCATGAGAGTCAATCTATGATCGCTCGTGTCCGACCTTATCCCCTCCCATCCATTTTGTTTCCCTAAGACCATCGACTTAACTTTTAGAAAGTTGGTATGTACAAAACCTAATTATAGTAGCTATTATATCAAAAATTTAAATGTAGGTAACCCAAAATAATTGAAAATTTTATCTGGATTAATCTTTTAACATGGTAGGTAAATGACTAAATAATATTTTACCAATCCATTGCTTAAGATGTTATTATTACCTAAATATATTAGAAATCAATATTCGCCTAATTCTGCAATTATCAATAATCAGTCAGTACGTCTCAAATAATATAATACACAGTACACAAATAAATATCGTTCCGTCTATTAATATTTATAGTGAAATTTATTTTCATAGTGTTTATTATTTTATTATACCAAGCAGTTGCTGGTTTTATTTTTCTTTATTTAGTGCTCATTTTAAATACTATCAATATGTTTAAATTTACACGGTGCTCATGTAAAGACAATTTGGTTGCCCACCAAAATAAACACGATGGTGTACGTTTTTCATGTACTATGTGTGTTTTAACATTAGATAACAAGTCCAACCTTAATAGACATATGAAAAATATTCATGGTGTGTATATATATTATTTTATTACTCTTAAGTAGTTTTAACAAGCGGGTTGTTTACAAATTATTTAGTTAATTTATTTTAAAAGGCATCACAATTTTTTACAATGATTAAGACGTGTACCCATAAACTTTTTTAGGACTTCATCACGGATATTAGTCATATTTATGTATTTTTTATATACACACGTGACCAAGGTTGGCACAAAAAAGCCCAGCTTCAAAAAACCCTGACTCTTTTTCTGGGTTAAATCCACTCATTATTTTGAAAAAAACCCATAAAACCCGGGCTGCTGTTCTGGATAAAATAGTAATTCCCTCTTATTTTTTTTTTAATTTGTGTTAATTTTCAGAAAAATGTCCTTACTAGATATTATTTATTTTTCCAATTAAGTATTAAGCTACGGGGTGCCATCATTGGGTGGCTTCAGCCTCCCGTCAATCAAACCACATCTCATTTACTTATTGTATAACTTGTAAATACTAATTTTTGTAAAATACATATTTGTTCAATAAAAAAAAAAAGTATTAAACTGATTTGTGAAATATTTAATAAATATT